GTGTTGTGTGTTGCCAAGGTGTTAAAGGAATGAAAGGAAAAGGGGTCTACCCTTTATATAGGGTGGGTGTGCTTCCAGGAGGTCTGTGTGCGGCCGCACACCCATGTGTACGGTCGTACACTCCCTCTAAGGGTGTGTATGGCCCTATTTTGACAGTATACGACTTGCTGACTCGTTCCTAATCTCAACCCTGGTCATACTCAGGCTTAGAATCACTTAAACGAACCCTCAAACGGTGTAAGAAGTCAACAAAACACGTTTAACTTTGATTGAATTGGCTAAGTGTGCGAGGTAGGAGTTTCTGGGTTGTCACATCAAGGTTTCCCATTCGTCCTGGAACCACAAAAATGTATCGAGACTTGAGACTCTGTTATTGGTGGCCCTGCATGAAAAGGGAGACTGCATGGTTTACTGATAGGTGTCTGACCTGCCGGAAGGTCAAAACTGAGCATCAGAGACCACATGGTAAGTTGCAGCCTTTAGAGGTCCCCATGTGGAAATAGGAGCATATCACCATGGACTTTATTACCTAGTTACCAAGAACAGTCAAGGGACTTGATGCTATTTGGGTTATTGTTGATCGTTTAACCAAGAATGCCTATTTCATTGCTATTCGGGAGAGCTCGTCGGCCAAGAAATTGGTTGACATTTATATTTGAGATGTGGTGGCTCGTTACGGGGTGCCTGTGTCTATAATCTCAGATTGAGATGTTCGGTTTACTTCTAGGTTTTGGAAAAGGTTCCATGAGGAGCTGGGTACCAAACTACACTTCAGTACTGCTTATCATCCATATATAGATGGCCAGAGTGAGAGGACAATTCAGACTCTCGGGGATATGTTGAGGGCCTGCATCATTGATTTTGGTGGGAGATGGTACTCCTACCTTCCGTTGGCTGAGTTTTCGTATAACAACAGCTATCATGCCAGCATTGGTATGCCTCCCTACGAGTTTCTCTACAGGAGGAAGTGTTAGACCCCGATTTGTTGGGGGAGGTTGAAGTTATGCAGATCAACGCCGTTCAGAGTTGGAGTTCATGGTCGAGGATATGGTGCTTCTAAAGGTATCCCCTGGAAGAGTATTATTCGTTTCAGGAAGCGGGGAAAGCTAGGCCCCAGATTTATCGGTCTGTTCCGAGTTGTCACTAGAGTGAGCAAACTAACCTACCGTTTGGAGTTGCAGGAGGAGCTCAGCTAGATTCACAACATTTCTATGTTTCGTAGTTGATAAAATGTGTGATCGATGAGTCCATTGTTTTTCCATTGGATGATATTCAAATTGATCATCACCTGAATAATATTGAGCGACTGGTGGTGATTCTGGATAGGAAGACGAATGCCTTGCATAACAAGGTGGTACCCATGGTCAAGGTCCAGTGGCAACACCGGAAGGGATCAGAGTGGACTTGGGATCCCAAAGCGCATACGTGCAAGGACTACCTGGACTTGTTTTCAAATGAGGATTTCGAGGGCGAAATCTAATTCAATTGGGGGAGAATTGTAACATCTATTTCAGCGATTTGAAGAAGAAGAAGAAGAAGAAGAAGAAGAAGAAGAAGAAGGTGCTTTTGGTGTTTTGTCCAAGCTAGCAAATCCGCCCTCATCAACTTGTGTTATTTCTGGACTCTTGTAAGTCCTCAAAGATCTTACCTTTTTCATCTTGTCATGTTAGATCTAGGTTTCTATCCACGTCCCTTCATATTTGGGTTGAATTTAGTGCATGGAATCCATAAAGTTAGCAACTTTATGGATTATTGAGGTCTATTGGTGGACATATGTTCCAAATCTAAAATTTGTTGGTGTAATGAGCTTCATGCATGAGATTTTAATGTTATTTCTCCATTTTTGACCTAGTTTGAGTATTATTCTTGAATTGGACATGCATTACTGAAAAGCATCGATTTTTATGTTATATCAGACCATAGGAATCTTTTTGGAAAGTTTGAAGGGGTGGCTTAATGGATTGAGAGCTCCACGACATGACAGCCTGCTCGTCACGACATGGCGACTGGGGGATCGCCCGACTGTTTTGTCGAGAAGTTGCCACGACGTGGCCTTTGGGTGGCCACGACGTGGAGACCTGCTAAAGTTGACGTTGACCGTTGACTTTGACCATAGTTGACTTTTGGTCAATTTAAGGGTTTAAGGGTGTAGATTGAGAGGGTACTTCCTTATTGTTGTTAGGTGTCTAGTTGTCCGGTCTTCACTGTGTGAGAGTTGTTGTGTTTAGTTGTTATCTGTAAGGTGAGTCTTCTCACTATATTACTTATTCCATAGTGTGTGTGTGTGCTGACCAGTTGGGTCTTATTTTTTTATTGTTGTTATATGTTATTAAGCTGCTAATGGCTTTAGTGTGTGCTATTAGCCCATAGGGACTATTGATAGTCTCCAAGGTTGCTGATAACCCACAGGATGTGTTGTTAATTCAGGGGGTGTTGTTAGTCCATTGGGACTGCTGATAGTCTTCAGGGTTGCTGATAACTCATAGTTATTTAATTTATGCACGTGACATTTTGGGGAACTCACTAAGCTTTGTGGTTACATTTATGGATTTAAATGTGTTTAGGGTACTCAAGATGATTGTAGAAAGGCGAAGGCTTGACGATACACTCTCCTCGACAACTTTCATGATTCCGTTTTTGTGATACTCTGATTTTGGGATGATTGTATTTTGATACTTATGATTTCTTGACTTGGTTTTCCTAGAAGCTATGTTTTTATATAATTTAAAAATGAAATTTTTTGTTGTAATTTCTGGGACGTTATATTATACCCAATAATAAGGGTACCAGGATGATGGTACCTCGCTGGGGTTGGAGGTACATTGTTATTTAACCCTCGTAGATTGTTATTTAACTTTATGGTATATTCGTTATTGCATCGTTGATTATTTAATAGTATAGAACTGTTACATTATTGTAGGGTGATAGGGTTATCCCCGTAGACTCATTTACCATAAAGGATCGTGGTATGCCAGGGGATGACATAGGTTTGAGTTACATAAGTAATTATATATATATATATATATATATATATATATATATATATATATATATATATATATGTGTGATATTACTCATTGTTGTATTGTTGAATACTTAATTATATTTAATTCTATATTTTTGTAGGGTGCCACTATTAATCCATTAAAACAGCCTAGTATGCGAGATGAGAGCCCGTTACAGGATGATGGACTTAATCGGATGTTTGCCATACAAAGAAACAATACCTATGCATGCATCTGTAGAGTCGTCGTAGATCATTAACGAGATGAAAGCCCATTACAGGATGATGGACTTAATCGGATTGTTAAGACATAGGGGAGTGGAGAGGCAAGAAGCTTGGCATGTGTGAGTTGGCATGGACAAGATGGAGAACATCGGCCCCTCATCTCGGCATGCCCGAGTTTTTATTGCGCAGCTTAACACTTTCTTGTGGTTTCTGTTCCTCTCTCTTCGGCAATGGGGAGGGGTTGAGTTGTTTCTTTCTCTTCGGCAATGGGGAGGGGGTTGAGCTGGAGAGCTCAGTAAGCTCAACACCACTTCCAACCTAAGGACTAAGGAATCCAAATGAACACGGAAACCAAAAACCTCAAAACTTTCAACAAGAGCTCCAAACATCACTATTTCACCATATGAATACCCTCCTCCTAGGATATTCCCCAATTAAATTTAATTCAAAATTAATATCATTTACAACGGGCGTGTTCGGCACGGAGCGTTTGAGAGCTTCTAGCTTGTAGCGTTTGACAAAACGCTCCATTTTGAATAGAAAGCCTCGTTCGGCACTACAAGCTTCTAGCGTTTAGTTTAAACAAAACGCTCCAAATCCAAATGCTACTTCATATAGCGTTTAACAAAACGCTACAAGCTACAAACTACCCGCTACCCGCTACAAGTCACCCGCTACCAGCTAATTTTGCCGAACACGCCCAACTTCTATCTAGTTGACCGGTTTACCCTAAAAAATAGAATATTTTTATCTTTCATCAAAATTGAAGGCCACAACCCTCAAATAACAGCCAACTAGGAAGTCTTCCCTCACTTTAATGATAATTTAACACAACCCATAATAAATCCTACACGTCGTTGATTACGAAGACACACATTAAACGAATTCCGTAGCTTTTTATTTAATTAAAAAATGCATACAGTACATTTAGTAAAAATGAACTCACAATCTTGCATAGAATGTGTCATTAATAATTTCATTGGAAAACTGTACAAGTGGAAAGAATGCACTAAAAGCAAGACATGTGTGTGTCACTGTCACAGTGAGAATCGCTTTGTATAAACATCAAACGGTTCGCTGGCTGTCAGTTGTGGTTCCTGCAATAACAATATGAGAAATGAAAAAAACACTTGACAGTTTAATTTAAAAATATATGACAAAATGAAATAACATTTAAGAGAAATGAAAGGAAAAAAAATATATCGTATTTTTTTAATCAAGTAATAAAGAATTCGTTGCGAAATGGAAATTATTGAAGTGGTCCACATGGTTGTTATAATTGTGAGGGGGCATATTAGATTTGACAAATCGTTACAATTCTTATGGGAGGAAGGGAGAATAAGTTTGACTTTATAGAAGATACTTAAAATACACTTCAAAATTGATTTGAATTCGTTAAAAATTATTCTAGAAATAAAAAGTTAGACAAAAAAAAACTAGCAAGAAAAGTCTGCCTCTAGAGTCGCCTAGATGGGAATTTTGCAATTGGGTGTTTCTTTTTTTACTTAATAAATGAAGTTGGGGAAAGAATCTTTTTCCATTGTGTCCAAACCATTTATAAATTTACTAGTATTATTTATTTTTTTCTTTCCATTCTCCCAAGTGTGTTGTCATTTTCTTAGATATTTTTTTCGAGTAAGTTACATTTTTGGTACCTGAGTACAACTGATTTTTGCAAGCTTGGTCCCAAAAAGTTTTATCTTTTAATTTCGATCCTTATTTTTGTAATATTTTTTTTTGTCTTTGTTCCATGTAAAATGACTATTTTTCGTCCTTAGATATAACTGATTTTTGCAACTTTGGTCCCTAATAATATAGTCATTTTACTTGGAACAAAGACCAAAAAAACGTTACAAAAACCTAAAATAAGGACCAAAACTGCAAGAGAAAATTTTTTAGGTCCAAAGTTGTATAAATCAACTACACTCAAGGACCAAAAATGTAATTTAAGCGAATGAAAATGAAAATGAAAATACCTGTCGAATGCCACCACCACCAAGGCTTCCTCCAGTCAAAAGCATACCAATGAGAGAAGACACCGCACCACCACCAGCACCACCACCACCTAAATCACTTTCATTTTTCCGAATGGTGTTTCTCATTGAAGTCAACATATCACCATATGTTGTCCCATGCCCACGTTCTATTGCTTGTATGAATGAAAATGTCATTGCTCCGGTTGAAGTCACCTTCGATAAAGACTACACATAGATATCACATATCAGATATGCATTCATTATTAGGTCAAAAATATATGTAAATTTATAAGATACCATTTTTAGACAAGATTATTAAAAGAAAAGTGAGAGTAATTACGGATGTGTCAGCAGATGATTGGTCATCATCACAGCCACTAAAGGAAATGACTTCGCCTCCATTTGTGCCCTTGAATATTCCTGATTGAGGACTATGGTCCTCCCATACATACCTCCCATTCCTATACATCAATAAGATGTTATATACATACATAGCTAAGTACAATGTATTTAGAACTAATAAACATTCCTATACATCAATAAGATGTTATATACATACATAGCTAAGTACAATGTATTTAGAACTAATAAGAATATAAGCTGTTATAATTAGGTAGATTTTTCAAAGGACAATGTCTTGATATGAAAAGAATTAAAAATAGAATGTTGTAATAGAAAAAAGAATGAAGGGAGGATGCTATAATAAACAAATAAATGAAAAAAACAGGGCATTAGCATTAATTGTATACCTGTCCATTCTACAAAGAAATGGTAAATCTAGCATTGTGCCACTATGACAGGCATCGATAATGGCATGAAGTCTGACACCATGAGGTAGTGGCTTAACCATAGTCGCATTTATCTCATCATCAACAATCATTCCTTGAGTCTCGAAATCCAATGGGCACAGTGTCTCATCGTATCCATCAATTTCATCGCCGGTGTAGTTCCTTTGCTGGGAACCATGGCCGGAAAAATGGAACACTAAGGAATCCCCAGGCTGACAACCTTGCATCAGCCAAAACATGGCCATTCTGATGTTATGCTTTGTTGGAATCCGATAAGGATCAGTTTCCTCTTCTGAAATATCAGTTGAAGAAATGAGTGGAAGAAGTTAGCCTCGAATGGATAGTCTGATGTTTGTTCTAAGAGATATGAATTTGTGATTCAGAGTTGAAACTAAAAACAATTGATATCGATTTTGGGGAAACCATAGGGTTTTATCTGATAAATGAATCTCAGATGAAGAACAGTATTGTGTAGAAGATGATAACTTATGAACTTAATTAATTATATCAAATGATCAAATCAAAACAATAGTGAAATCAGAAATACTTTACCGGTGAGCATGAGAATAGAGGATTCCGGGAACTTGAATTTGTTGATCAACAAGTACTTCATACACTTGGCATCATTTATGCAACCTTTCAGCTCGTGCTTCGTCCTCTTGTACGATATTCCGCAGATCACTGCCCTCTTTCTCCCGTTGACCGGCGGTGGTTGACCAAAAGACGCTACTCGATTGTACGGCGATGGTGCTGGAGCTGCGGGTGGTGGATGCGGCTGAGGTGGAGCGTAGTGGTGGTTGGAATAAGTAGCATAAGGTTGAGTAGGCAACGGCGGAGGGAGGCTCCGGGGATCAGCGACGCGTGTAATGGCTAGACAGAGGGCGCACCTTATGGCCCTGGCTCCCGCCGGTAACTGTAATGGAGTCCGGCAGTTCGAACAATCAACGAGCATCGACATTTCCTCCGCTTGAAATTTATTCCGGCAATTGAAGAATTCCGGTTAGAGAAGGGTTTGTTGATTGTTTGGTGAAGAATTTCAAAAGTGGTGGGAGTTGGTAAAATAGAAGTGTTCTTACGGTATAGATAGACCTCGACTACGCGATAACGCGAAGGCTGCTATTTAATTTGACCAAGTTTTCTTTGTGAAATTTACAATTTGCCCCCATGTGGTTTGAACAAATTACCAAATATGTTTTTAACTTTTTTTTTTTAAGTAATAAATATAGTTCAATACATATCGAAGGCAAACGGGCAACAAGCTGCGCCGCTAGCCCTTTCTGGATGGCAAAACCAATTCTTTTGAAAACAACATTTGTGGATCTAGGAGATATGACATTAGAATGTATGACCCGTTGGACTCTATTGAGGAGCTCTACCGCCTCTGGTGCGAGAAAACCAAATGTATTGAATGCAAAAGGTACAAACACATGTTGATTTTCTATACATGTCTTCTCGTGCTTTATCACTTTGCACGCAGCGGCATGCCCTGCTGTGAAACCTCCGCTCCCCAAACCAACGAGAGGAGAGACCCCAGTAAGATCCACGCACGCATGCTTCCCTCCTATCCATCCAAAGACCAACATATTTGTCGACCATATTGAAGGTTCCATTTTTAGGAGATGCAACATCATGTGGAACAAGTTATTACATCTTTTATGCAAAGCTAAAATCTTTATTTTGGTTTATATAGATTTCTAATAAATAATCTTATCAAAAGAACTAACAAAATTTTGAATAATTTATAAGAATAAAGACCAAAAGGCCTGAAGGTTCTATTTTTAAGAGATACGACGGAACAAGTTATTACTTCTTTTATGCAAAGCTAAAATCTTTATTTTGGTTTCTATAGATTTCTAATAAATAATCCTATCAAACGAACTAACAAAATTTTGAATAATTTATAAGAATAAAGACCAAAAGGCCTTTAGCACGGTGGTTTCAGGAGTTGGGGGATAGGTATCCATCAGCCAAAAACTGAGGTTTAAATCCTCTTGGGGACGAAAGATATATATTTAGGAGTAGAGTAGTGGATGTGCTTAACTTTAAAAAAAAATGGTAAACCACATCATCTGAAGTCTAAACGGCCGACGTCAACCCGCCACAAGACCAATGTGAGAGGTCAATCAATGAACACTAACAAGATATCGGGTATGTCAGGGTTTGAACATTGGACTTCATATGTAGAATTACACTTCTCAACTCCTAGACTCCTATCGCGGGGGCGCACATGTGTAGCTTTATGCTACCAATGTAACATGTGCATTGAATGAAGAAACGTAACTTTATGCTACCAGAAGGAATCGGGGCATCGTTGGATTAGTTAAGAGTTAGGACAATAATTATATTTTATCATTTTTTAATCTTGTGTATATTGGATCAAACTGATGGAAATTGATCGATAAATCTAAATATTTTTAAATATAAAAATCATTATTAAATTACTAAATTACTTATAAATTGTTGGTAATTTCATACCCTTGATTTATATTCTGTCTCTATCATATTCATGATACATCACATATTGAAAATTGAATGATGCTTTCTTTGATGGTATATGCATGGCAACATTAAATGTACTTGTGGTCATTGTGTACATGAAAGGAGTGATTTGCACAAATCAAGAGAAAAGTAATATTTTTAGGTAAGACATTGATCAAACGCATAACAAAAACAAATAGTGGGGAGCAAGCGTGTAACAAAAACAAACAGTAGGGACTTTCCGAGTTAAAAAAATAAGTTAAAGACCAAACGTACAAAATATCCCAAACCATAGGGACCATTCATGTAATTTACTCTAGAAAATATATGACAACTTACACCCACGTTGACTTCGTACATTGTGTCAAATGCCAACGTTTACCTTTAATAGGCGCGTGAAACGAGGAGGGTTAAAACCCTTCACTACATATTAAGAAAAATTAAAACACGTAACATGATACACACAATAATTTTGAGAACATGGTGTGTAGTTTTATTAAATCTTTGTATTATAAATTATAAAATATACATTTAAATTGAACATTTAAGGGTCAAAGTTATAGTTAGCTATTTAAAATATAAGGTGACATATTCATCATTGAAATTTTATTTTATTTTGGACAATCAATATCTCCTGCTTCTTTAGATTGAAAGTATTAAAGTTTCTTTCGGGAAATTTCCGTCAATGTGTATTAGTTTTCAACATATGGTGAAATTAAAAATATATATATATATTATTAGCAATGATATGATATTAACTTTTTCTTTTTTTTTTTTTCAAAATTGTCATAAATAAAAATAGAGAAATGAAAAATCCTCAAACCTTCTATTACTTTTTATCTTCCTATTCATGTTAAATGATAACAAATGTTACATTTAATAAAAATAATAATATTTAAAAATATTTGTCACTATTTGATATGAGTAGGATGATGAATAAGAAAAAAATATAAAAGAATAATTACTTTTACTTTGTAGATCTTGAAGATGAAGAAATAAGTAGCAAATCTAACTCCTACCAACACCACAATCACCTGCCTCCCACCACATTCTTCCATCCATCCATTGTCCACCTCCCAAACAGGAGTACTATGAATGGACCAAAATAAACATCAAACAAGAAAAAGTTCAATGCTTCAAAAGAAATTTAAAAAAAAGAACCTAATCTAAAACGAATCTAAAAAACATTATTCAAGTTCTTCATCTTCCTCTGTTCTTTCACTAATGAACACTAAGTGTTCTTGGTGTTTGTGTATGTAAGACAGATTGGTCCAAAGAAAAATGATTTTAGAGAAACACACACAATAATCCCTTGACAACTACCTGCAAAAAAGCCACCATCATTGTCTCTCCGTTACAACCTACCCTTCACAACCTCACAACCTCTTCACGTCTTTCAAACACCATCAACAACACCCTTCTTTACCCTTTCCTGAACAATCGAATAGACATCCTTATTTTCTCCATACAATCATCATCGCCATTTTTCAACCTCTTAAGTATTTATACCGAGAAAAGTGGGATTTGATTCCTTGCTGCTGAGGATTCACGCATATACACAGAAAAATTATGAAGAAAACACCATGAAGGATGGTACCTACGATCGATCAGGAAGGAAGAAATGGGGGTTTCATTCTTGATTGTGTCAAAATTATAGAAACGTGATTTAATTACCCAACATCAACAACTCTTATATCAATTGAATATTAAGAGTCAGAAGGTTTTCAAGAACATACAACGGAAACCTCACTACAAAACCACTTAATCTACTCTCAATATAGCATACTAAATCCTAATCTACAATATCAACAAGAACAGATCAAAATAACACAAACCCTAATCTGAAACTCTAACTGAAGATATTCTGTGTGATAGATGAGAGAGAACAAAGCTATTTATATTTTGATTCAGGAATAATTACCAAAAAATGAGCTCCTCCAACAACTTATACTCCAGGTCAATAAGACCCGAAGATCCGTGTGTAACCCGAAAACATTTACACTCCGACCCTCGAAGATTCAACCAACTACCTGCACAACGTGCATAAAAAAAGAATAAAGAAAATACAGAAACTACCCATATAACAAAATGTTAGTTTGAACATTAAACTACTTATTATTTTAACAGCCCCCCTCAAACTAAATATTTTAACAAAAACTTAGGAAAATGGATCAAACAAACACAATTTCTCACTAAGAATCTCATGTTGAGATGACACAAGAGATTTAGTAAGAATATCAGCAACTTGATTAGAAGAAAAAAATTTGACAAGTTTAATAATTCATTTTGAAATTTTCTCCCTAATGAAATGAACATCAATTTCGAAATGCTTTGTTTTATCATGAAAAACAGGATTTAAAGCCAACTTGATTGCTGACTCATTATCACAAAAGATATTTATAGGAACAACATTTTTAAAACCAATATCATACAAAACTTTTAGTACCCAAATAAATTCACATGACAAAGAACCAAGAGCCCTGTATTCCAACTATGCGGAAGATCGAGAAATAGTAGCTTGTTCCTTACTTCTCCAAGAAACAGGAGAATCGCCAAAAAATACAACATAACCACTAACAAATTTTCTAGAAAATAATCTTTTTGCCCAATCTGCATCTGAAAACCCTCTCAAGACAAGAGAATCAGATTCAAACATCAAATAACTAACACCCTTATGTTTCAGATACCTTAACAACCTTAAAGCATCCTGTAAATGAGCCTTTATGGGTTTGTGCACATATTGACTTAGTACTTGGACAAAATATGCAATATTTGGCCTAACAATATTGGGATAGATGAGTTTTCCAATAAGTTTCTGAAAATCTATTACATTTCAATTAAAGTATCATTATTATTATCAAAAATAAGATTTGACTCAAGAGGAGTTTTGACTGGCTTGCAACCCAGCATTCTGAAATCATGAAGTAATTCCAAATAATACTTCCTTTGGGACAAGCACACACCATTTGGAATTTCAAAACCTCAATACCCAAAAAATATTTTAATTTTCCTAAGTCTATTATAAGAAACTGACATTTAAGAAAGTTTTTTACTTTACTAATTTCAAATTCACAATTTCCTGTCAATATTATATCATCTACATAGACTAACAAAATTATATTTGGATTTCCAACAATTTTAATAAACATAGAGTAGTCATTAAGACTTGGTTTGAACCCAAAACTAATTAAAGAAGCACTTAACTTTTCATTCCACTTTTGTGGAGCCTGTTTTAAACCATACAATGACTTTAACAACTTACAAACCCTATTATCATTTTTACTGTGATATCCCGGAGTTAAAACCATATAAACATCTTCTTCAAGAGAACCATAGAGAAAAGCGTTATTAATATCAAATTGATACAAATTCCAACCAAAATTGACAGCTATAGTAATAATAATATGAATTGTAACAATTTTGGCTACAAGAGCAAAAGTCTCCTCATAGTTAACCCCTTCCCTTTGATTGTAGCATTTGGTTACAAGACGGGCTTTATATCTTTATATTTCCCCATTAGCCTTATACTTAATCTTATAAATCCAAAGACAACCAATGGAATTTCTGTTTTTAGGAAAATCAGTTATTATCCAAGTGTTATTCCTATAGAGAGCCTCCAT